CTGCTGGTCTTCTGACCTTGCAGCACAGAGGCTTCTGCGGTTTAACCTGCAACACCACTGCATTCCTATAATAAGCTTATTATGGTTCCTGTAAATCAGGTGGAAGTGGATAGCATATAACATAACTGTGGCCCATACTAATTGCAGAGGAGAGAGTAAACACTTTAGATAGGAATTCTGTTTTTAAAAGCCCTCCTCAAGTCATGCCTCCTGTCACATTTTGCCTATTTCACTCCCTGATATCTTATGGGCAGCCATCTGGTATCAAGCGAGATGCATCAAAAGGTTTACTTTATTCTTGTTCTAGTAAAAATGCATAGTCTGATCCAGTACACGGACATTTGGAGAGCGGGTGTTGAGGCAGATCATTTGGACAAGAAAAGATACAGCTGCTCCTTCATCCCGCAGGTGTGGGAATGACCATGGCTATAAATTATCTTTAGAGCCGGTGTAGAGCGTTGTGAAAGGTTCCTGAATACCAGCCCCTCGGTTGTTGCCAAATTCTGGCACTGCCGTCTGTGTACTGCGAGGCTTGTCACCAACATGATAATTTATGGCAAGTTGCTGCCTTGAACTAAATTTAGGAACAAGTGCAGGTGAGTCAATTTAGAAGCCTAATCAATTGTAAAACCACGTCAGGGTACATTTTCTCCCCTTAACCTTTCCTGTAAAATGACAAATATTTTGACTAATGGGAGAAGAGTAGGAGAAAATGGATTTGAGCAGACAGAGGACACCCTGCTCAGGGAATTTGTTAAAACAGGTGATCCAGGAAGAAAGGCTTACAAAAAGAAAAGGACAATGGAGTATGAGCTGCAAAAATCCTAACTTTTCTCCTTCTTCCCAGGGGGAAAAAAAAGCATCTGCACATTTTTTTTTCTCCTTGGCTGCAAAGAATTTTTTTGCCAGTATCGACAAGTATTTTTGTGTTTAAAAAGATGTCCTTTTTTCACTCAAAAATGTGCACATGGGCAAAAGGACAGTGGACTCAAGCTTGTTGCATGGCCTTGCCTGCTTGTGTTGGCGTGCATCTTCTGCACTTACTCCAGGTGTGTGCCTTGCTTCACAAAGGGAAAAATGACACCAGCTTGCGAAGAGATATATGGGAGCACTGGGGCGAATAACGCTTTCGATTGTATTGTTTATTTGTATTTCATTCTTTTTATTTTCTGTTCTGTCAAATTAGTATTTTAATTATGTCCTTGTTGTGTTTTGTTGCAGACTGCCCTGAGTGGACCTTGGATAGACCGACAGATAGATGGATGTATGGATCTATGGATGTATGGATAGACCTTTCGATTGTATTGTTTATTTGTATTTCATTCTTTTTATTTTCTGTTCTGTCAAATTAGTATTTTAATTATGTCCTTGTTGTGTTTTGTTGCAGACTGCCCTGAGTGGACCTTGGATAGACCGACAGATAGATGGATGTATGGATCTATGGATGTATGGATAGACGGATCTTATTCCCTGTTTTGCTGTTGTGATTTAGACAAACCTTCAGGTTGAGAGCACTTCAGACAGACAGACAGACAGACAGACAGACAGACAGACAGACAGACAGACAGACAGACAGACAGACAGACAGACAGACAGACAGACAGACAGACAGACAGACAGACAGACAGACAGACAGACAGACAGACAGACAGACAGACAGACAGACAGACAGACAGACAGACAGACAGACAGACAGACAGACAGACAGACAGACAGACAGACAGACAGACAGACAGACAGACAGACAGACAGACAGACAGACAGACAGACAGACAGACAGACAGACAGACAGACAGACAGACAGACAGACAGACAGACAGACAGACAAACTACAGCTCCCAGAAGCATTCAACACCACCACCTCTGCTGGCCAGTATTTCTGGGAGTTGAAGTCCAAGAACATCTGGAGGGCCAAGGTTGGACACCACTGCTCTAGATGGTTTGCAATATAATTATGCATTGCCACCTTCTCAGCAAGCTGGATACTCAAGTTACCGATCTCAGAAGGAGGGAAGGTTGAGTCAACTGCAAGCCAGCTAGATGAGCAGGGGTCGAACATGGGTCATGAGCAGAGTCTTATCTGTAGTACACCAGTTAAACCGCTGCACCCAAAAAGGGTTAGTGAACTCTATGTGAGAATGAAAAACATAGCAGTTATTTCTTTTCATCCTTCCTTTGTCTAATTTATCCAGCGATATACTTACAACAAGAATGCTTTCTCTCACAGACTATGAAGGAATGTGGGAAACCACTGTAGTATAGTCACTTTTGAAGTTGGTAAATTCTTGCTCCCCTAGTCCTCATAGAAAAAGGATAAGGAATTGGGCATCTTACCCCTTCTTTGTCATCTAAGAGGGCGAGACATTTTCTGGTGCTTTGAACCGGATGCTTTGACACACTGCAACTGAAATCCTGTTGGCTTCAGCGTGTACGCCATAAACTGTACAATGTCATCATATGGCAATGGAACTCTTTATTTGATTCAATTAAAATGATCCAAACCCTTCTACCTTGCATTTTAAGGTACCCTGGGGATCCGTTTTGCCATCAGAGAGAGAAAGAGGGGAAATTTAGTATCAGAATATTGCTGGTGGTGGTCCTTCCATCATGTTGATCCAGCAGCCGTTTTCTGGTTTTAAAGCCCAACCCAAGACATCTGGCTTCATTTTTGAACTATTTGCCTTTTCCCCCAAATTTTATACTAAGGAAGAGCCTTCTCTAAAACTGAAGTGGTGAAGATTTCTGGAGAACTCCAGATTTCAGCTTGTTTGTAATGTTTAATGACCCATGGTGCATGTGAGTATCCAGTGGAGATGACACACTGAAAAAAAGCAAAAGCAACATGTGCTGCTTACAGTACTGCCACATAGTGGTTAAAGCTTTCTCTAGATCAGTGGTCCCCAACCTTGGCTCTCCCGATGTTCTTAGACTACAGCTCCCAGAAGCCTTCACCACCACCACCACCTCTGCTGGCCAGGATTTCTGGGAGTTGATGTCCAAGAACATCTGGAGGGCCAAGGTTGGGGACCACTGCTCTAGATGGTTTGCAATTTAATTATGCATTGCCACCTCCTCAGCAAGCTGGATACTCAAGTTACCGATCTCAGAAGGATGGAAGGTTGAGTCAACTACAAGCCAGCTAGATGAGCTGGGATCGAACATGGGTTATGAGCAGAGTCTTATCTGTAGTATAGCAGTTAAACCGCTGCACCAGGAGGCTCCCAAAAAGGGTTAGTGAACTCTATGTGAGAATGAAAAACATAGCAGTTATTTCTTTTCATCCTTCCTTTGTCTAATTTATCCAGTGATGTACTTACAACAACAATGCTTTCTCTCACTGACTATGAAGGGATGTGGGAAACCACTGTAGTATAGTTACTTTTGAAGTTGGTAAATTCTTGCTCCCCTAGTCCTCATAGAAAAGGAATTGGGCATTTTACCCCTTCTTTGTCATCTAAGAGGGCAAGACATTTTCTGGTGCTTTGAACCGGGTGGTTTGACACACTGCAACTGAAATCCTGTTGGCTTCAGCATGTACGCCATAAACTGTACGATGTCATCATATGGCAATGGAACTCTTTATTTGATTAAATTAAAATGATCCAAACCCCTCTACCTTTCATTTTAAGGTACTCTGGGGATCCATTTTGCCATCAGCAAGGAAACTCAGGAGAGAGAAAGAGGGGAAATTTAGTATAAGAATATTGCTGCTGGTGGTCCTTCCACCATGTTGATCCAGCAGCCGTTTTCTGGTTTTAAAGCCCAACCCAAGACATCTGGCTTCATTTCTGAACTATTTGCCTTTTCCCCAAATTTTATACTAAGGAAGAGCCTTCTCTAAAACTGAAGGGGTGAAGATTTCTGGAGAACTCCAGATTTCAGCTTGTTTGTAATGTTTAATGACCCATGGTGCATGTGAGTATCCAGTGAAGGTATCGTACAATGAGGTTTGGGGCACATCTCTCATGATCTCTCACCTAGCATAACTTGTGTTTTTTCCCAAGCTCTGAAGGTTGTTTTTAAAATTAGTTTGAGCTACCTTTTAATGCTCATTTTCAAGGTGTTCTCAGGTGTATATTTTATGTTGCCCTCCTACCCATGGGACTAGGTAAAAGCCAGAACAGCGGGCTGGAATGAATGCTTGTTCCTGAAGACTCATGCCAGAACTACTGGCATGTTAGCCCTGAGGCTACATCACTCTTATCTAATCAGAGGTGCATCATGAAACTGGTTGATTTATCCTACTCAAAAGTTACCATTCCGGGCCAATGTTTATTTATTTATTTAATTTATATGCCACCTACACTACCCAAAGGTCTACACAATGTGTTCTGTTCAAGCTGGTTTGGGGACATTAAACAGTTAATGAAATAGTAATATTTAATGGGTTTCATGCCTAAACTGATGTGTGTCCATTACATCACACTGGTTTTTGGCATCAATTTTTATTAACAAGCACCCAATTCTGCCCGTTCTGCTCTGGTCCAGTCCATTCCACTCCACTCCACGCCACTCCATTCCGGTTTTTACCTCGCCCCTAAAGCCACTGTCTCCTCCCAGGTGCAGCAGACCCATCAACTGGCAAATGATAAATAAAGACTTAATATAAATCCCATTGACTCAAGGCAGAGTCCTAACAATTGGACAAGAAAGGGAGGTGCTTTTCTCAAGCATGTTTTCTAAGAAAGTACTTGGGATTTTTCTTTTCAAAAAAAAAAAGGGGCGGGGAAACCAAACTACCCCTCCCCTAAAGAAACACTGTTCTTCTGCAATCATTTCTTCACAATGTTTAGTCCATCGGGCTTAACTCTTTTCTTACCTCCTGCTACAATGCTCCAGAGCAACATTAGTGGAGGATGCTGAACCTCAACCTTGAGAACCTTTTGGGGAGCTTCTTCTCCCGCTGGAAAAAATTTACTGAAATAGAGCTGAAGGTTTCAGAAAGGCATGAATCCAATGCTGAGCCAGTCGTTCTTAGAATGTTTAAGAAGCAGAATGTGGGGAAAAGAACAGAGGAGGGCAAAGTCAGTTGGTGACAGTTGGATAACCATCAATGGAGGAAAGGGCTGACCAAGAGCAGGAGAAAGAAAGAAGGACAAGAGGAAAAGAAGAGGAGAAGAGGAAAAGAAGAGGAGGAGCAACTTAATTTGTAGATTGGGTGAGAAATGCCCTGGCATAGACGCCAGGCTGGTATTTTGGAAGAATGTAACCAACAATGTCTGGGCTCCTTTTGTGTGTTTGTGCATTTACTATTATATCAATTAATTGGCTGTGTTGCCTTTTTATCTCCAGCCTGTTTCTCTCCATCCTTCACTGAGAATAGTGTTGATCAGAGTACCCTCATTTAAGCTATTTCTCAAGTCAAAGCCTGGAAGAGCTCATATCTCATTTGCTGACCAGATGGATCTTTGATAGACAGTTTTAGGAGTCAGGGTGATGTAGTGGCTTCTCCCAGGGCCCATCTTAAAGGTGACATCATAGGATGGTCTTTTGTACCTCATCATACCTGATTACGTTATCTTGGGTATGCTACCTCTAGTAACTTTCTCATAATTAGACTATGTGTATATCTTTTCACAATAACAGAGGTAAAGCAAAGGGAAAAGTACTCATAACTCCAACTACTAGTCTCAACAAAGGTCAACTTGTTGCATCAACTGTTGCAAAGTAAGTCAACACTATAAGTTTCAATGATTCAGTGGGTCTACTCTAGATGGGATCATCAGTAAGTGGACTTAGGTAACCATAACTAATTGATTAAATAATATTTTAAAGATTGTCTTTAAAAGATTGTCTAAACCTTAAGGTTGTCTAAACCTTGATGGAAACATAAAAGATTCCATTTTATGTTCTGAGAAACTGATGGATCCCTTAAGCGATAACGAAGGGTATTCGTTTTCGCTTAATTGCATTTATATGCCACCCATTGATTGCATATAAATGCAATCAATCAATCAATCAATCAATCAATCAATCAATCAATCAATCAATCAATCAATTATGATGCACTTGCTGGTGTCTATCTTCCTTACAAAGTACCCTCTGTAGTATGAGTTTTGCCGTCATATTGTTGGGTTCAGTTGTTTAAAAGCCAAGGCCATTAACCTGTTTCATGGCTCATATAAACTGCATGTGCATCTATCAAGGTAAGTATGAAAGAGTCCCTTGAGAAATTAGCAATTTTTTTAAAGAAAAGGTGGAGAAAGGAAGTTTGGAAACTCTCTTCCTACCATGGAGCATATGCGAATAGAATGGAAGCCTACATAAAAAATACGTAGGTCTGATAAACCCTAATCAAGCATACTACAGGGGAAGGAGAGTGTTAGCCGTACCTACTGCATACTAGCTCTAAATCTGAAAAGGGAAGCTTATTCTGGAGCATCTCCACATACCCTCAGTCATCCTGAAGAATCAGGGTTCCAGATAGTGTTGAGGGCCTGCTCAAATTGAGACGCCGCCGCTCTTCCGATTTGGTTATACACATGGGGAGAACCAAGACGGATGCCCAGGGCTAGTGATTTTCTACCCTTGCTAGTTTTTACTTTAGCTTCTTTGTGAGATGCCTGAATAGGGCTCCAGTGTAAGTGATAGGTGGCACACAGGACATCGATGATTTCCCCCTGCTCTTTTCTTGCTTAGGAAAGGAAGGAAGCGAAATGTTCATCTTCTGGATTGGGTTTTGGGGTCTTCTCCAACTCCCAGAAGCCCACCTGGTTCCTCCCGTCTTTTCAAACTGGTCAGTAACAAAGGTGAGTGGGACAAGTCATTCTTGCCTGACATACCGTCCTGCCCCCTGCAAATCAGGTCTTAGAAGTGTGCATTCTCTTATTCCACTTTGGCACAGTTTCATCTCTCCCTTTTCAGAGCCGGATAGTATGAGAAGGCTAAGATTTTGGGAGATGACTAACAGGGCAGCATTCCATTTGCTGCCTAATTTATGATCCATCGCTCCTCTCATTTAGCAAAATATTATTTGATAATGAAACTCTTTGAGGGCCTGACTTTGTAGTGACTAGAGATGGGCACAAACCCAAAAATGAACCAGGAAGTTTGTTAAAAATCTCTGGTTCATTGGACGAACCAAAGCGAACTGAATCAATGCACTTTTTGAGCAATTTTAGTGTAGTTGTTCCATTTTGCCCCAACCCCTTTCCTTCCCAGTCTGCCCCCTTGCCCACCCAGCCCGGAATAATGAGATGAGACGCGATATGTATGGGTTAAACAACTTTATTAACTTATTAACACTTTAACTTCCCCTATGACAAGGGGGCCTGCTGTAGTACAAAACAGGTCTGGAACCAGAGTCAGTCCTACCTGACTGGTCCAGACCTATTCCCAGCGAGTTCCTGTGTCAAACGTCTTAAGCACAACACCCTCTTGGTCCCCCTCACTGGAGGCCTCCCTCAAGGTGAGCCTTGGGACCTCTAGTCCACAGCGTCCCTTGGGGTGCCCTGTTTTTCCCTCCCATCAGCTAAACCTCTTTACTGCAATTCTGAGAGAAGGGGCTTCTAGCACTTGCTGGGTGTCTCCCCTGATATTCCCATGATCCTATCCTGTTTTGCACTACCCGCCATGGCCTAGGGGCTACACCGTATGGCCCCAGGCCCCCACCAAACTGAAAATTTAGGCCCTAAGGCCCCCTTGTATATTCTGGAAGAACCAATCTCGCCCTGATAAATGCACCCCATCCTTCCTGTATAATTAGAGGCAACTAACTCAAATGTCTCCCTGGAAAAGACCCTGATGTTGGGAAAGTTTGAGGGGAAGAGGACAAGGGGACGACAGAGGACGAGATGGTTGGACCGGGTCATCGAAGCGACCAACATGAATTTGACACAACTCCGGGAGGCAGTAGAAGACAAATCCAAATCCCAGCAGGGGATCCTCCAGAGCCATGTCGTGAAAGTGAAACTGCTCGGCTCTGAGGCAGCATGACTCCTCGGCTTTGCTTTGCAAGCAGGGAAGAGGACAGCCAGCACAGGCCACCTTCTTAAAGCCTTGCCTTTAGCTCTGCCTGCCTGATTCTCCCTGCTAATCTCTCTACCGGACGGGCAGGCAAAGAAGCCCCACCCCAGCATCTCCACCCTGCGCCAAGGGGGGCCTTCTTGCTTCCCCATTACCTCCCTCTCTGGTCCTGCCTCCTCCTCCTCCTCCTTCATCATCATCATCCCAGCAGCATGACCTTCCAGAAGCCCGGGTGCTGCCTTTTGTGCCTGGGCCGGGGTCCCTGCTGATCTCCCTGATCAAGTGAAGCCAGGCCACCATCTCCACACATGTGAAGCTTGTTAAATCAGGAAAAACATTTATTGATTTGGTTTAGGTTCTCCGGTTTGGAACCTACCCAAATCAAGGAACCAGGGATTTTTTTTACAGACATCCTGGTTTTTATTATTATTTTATTATTGTTATTGTTGTTGTTGTTGTTGTTGTTGTTGTCGTTGTTTTTGTCGTTGTTGTTGTTGTTGTTGTTGTTGTTGTTGTTTTTGTTATTGTTATTGTTATTGTTCGTGCACTTCTCTACTGATTTCTTCCCTGTTGGTTTCTTAGGAAGAATCGTTTCTGCCCTCATTAAAGAAGGCACTGTTCGGAAAAGACGAATATCTAAGAGAAGATGATTTCAACCTGACAAGACAGAACGCTACATTTTTTCCTCCTGTGGAGCTGAATATTTCGCGTCGTATTTGCTGCGGATGTGAACATATAATAGAATTTCTGGGCTGGGTGCTACAAGACCATATTACAGTTGCCCGTTTCGCCGTCTCCGTTTTTACAGCTGGACTTTTTGTGAACCTGATCATTTTCTTCTTTCTCCTTTTCCACTTGCAGAGGAAGTCCTGGACTGTCTACATCTGGAATTTAGCTGTGGCTGATTTGGCTGTCTTTCTATTTTTATGCGTTATCCGTTTATTTACTTCCATTAATAACATTTATGGGGATGCAAGTGAAGCTTTTGATAAATTATTTCTACCTCTGGCATATCTGTTCTTAGCTTTACAGGGCGTCAGCGTGCATTTCCTTGTGGCCGTCGCTAGTGATTGGTACCTGTTTCTCATTTTAAGCAGGAACAGACACTCACTACTGGATTACCTGCGTCCTCTCTTTTCTGTTCTTGATGCTGTCATTCTCTGGGCCCTCTCATGCCACTTAATGCTATTTTTCAATTTGGGGAGTGACACACAACCCATCGGCTTCGTATCACTGATGGTTTTTGCTCCGCTCATAGTAATCTGTACTCAAACCCTGATCCTGCAGATTTGGTGTAAATTACGCGGGGAAGGAAATCTGCATACAGAAATTGTTCTCGGAGCATTCTTCTGCCTTGCCACATGGGCACCCCTACATCTGTTTTCCACCATGAGCTATGATTGCGCCACCCTCTCCTTGCTGGCTTTTCAGCTCACCATTCTGAGTAGCGCCATCAACCCTATACTTTACATTTTCATCGGGCGAGGACTTCTGCATCATCCGGAAAATGTCAGGTTGCCCCATGTGGTTTAAAGGGAGCCAAAGGTCCCCTAAAGGCTGGAGCCGGGCAGTGAAGGAAGAAATATAGAGATGCTTGTCGAAGAAACGTTATGTGCCTGTCTTTTTTTTTTGGCTTTGCAAGACGTTTGTGACATTTTAAGCATTGAATGTGCGCCCAGCTGAATAAAGTCCGTGTCTTAAGAATCCCTTACTTTGTTTCATTCAATTACTGCATGCCATGTCATTTATTTAAGGGGTCTTTGAAATGTAGGAGTATGAAATTAATTATGAATGATCTGCTCTCCTTTCATGAAGCCCAAAATCTGAGGCTTGAGTAAGTCCCTCTGCCAAATGGTAGGGCCAACATGTATCCTGTTTGTAAATACAGTAGGACTGCACTATCCGGGGAGGGCGGCTGGTTCCCTGTGGATGTCAAAAAATGTGAATTATTGAACACTATACATTGCATGGTCTTTGGCTCCCTCTAATGGCCCGTCTGCTCTCCTTTCATGAAGCCCAAAATCTGAGGCTTGAGTAAGTCCCTCTGCCAAATGGTAGGGCCAACATGTATCCTGTTTGTAAATACAGTAGGACTGCACTATCCGGGGAGGGCGGCTGGTTCCCTGTGGATGTCAAAAAATGTGAATTATTGAACACTATACATTGCATGGTCTTTGGCTCCCTCTAATGACCCGTTCTGGAAAATACACTCTGGAAATACATATAAATACATATTTATGGGTTTTTTATTTAGTATTTTCAGGCAGCAGATAAGTGAATCAGCGTATGCTGATCCTGTGGCTAGAGGGTTGCACTATTTGTAAGCTTCCTATATTGATTTCAAATACAAGGAATGTTTGTCTCTGACTTGCAGATTTCAGAATAGGGAAGTAGAAGCCAGGCAGAAATAGGCACAGACATTGTTAACTGTCGGCTTTTGTTTAGGAAGTACCAACATTTACAAAATGTGTACGTGAGAGATGACGAAATAGGGTCCCTTCCAGATCTGCTGTTCTAAGATGATATGAGTGTTCCCAAGGCAGGCAAAGACTCCTACTTGTGGCCTTGCAAAGATGAGAAGAAGACCTCCAAAACTCAACCTGAGAAGGCTGGCAACAGAATGGGTGGGGACCTTTGGGAGAAGACTTGCCTATAAGCCTTCAGCTGTGCTTCATTCAGGTTCTGAACCCATGAATTCAACAGGGTTTCCTGTTCTGCTCCCAGAGGAACAGAAAGTGATCAGGAGGAAGAACTGATCATGCTGGCAAGACTACTAAGGATGTTGTGTGAGAAAGGGTTGAAAGACAACTTCCATGACTTCAGAAAACTGATTGGAATGGTTAAGAAGGAAGATCTTTGGAGTTTTGCTATAAGGCATCAGGTCGCCGTAGAACTTACTGTTTCACTGATTCTGATAAAGGTAATAATAACTGGATGTGCACCGTATATATGAATAATGACTTCCTTTATCATATATCAGGGGTGAATCCCATGCTTTGCATGTGGAAAATGCAAGGTTTAACCTACACATCTTTGGGTGCGGTTAGGAAAAAGATCGTACTTGGATTCCTGGTAAGATATTACCAATTGGTGTTGACCACAGTGGGCTAGATAGACCAAAAATCTGACTTGGCATAAAGCAGCTTCTCATCTTCCCATTTTTTAAAAATCTTGGCCAATATTTCCATGTTATGCTTATACATGTAAGCATTTACTGTTAGTTAGAAAGCTACATGGGCAATTTCATTTGACTGCAAAAGGACGTCATTTTCATCAGGCACTGTCTGATGATGTGGACTGGTCCCCAAAAGCTCATATTAAAAAATATAAGAATTAATTTTTAAGGTGCCAACATATTTTTGTGGGTGTTTTCCATTTGACTGCAAAAGGACGTCATTTTCATTAGGCACTGTCTGATGATGTGGACTGGTCCACAAAAGCTCATATTAAAAAAAAATGTATAAGAATTAATTTTTAAGGTGCCACCATATTTTTGTGGGTTTTTTCCTTACCTTTTTATTTCTGTTTTGCTTTTACCTAACTGCCAGCACCATTTTTGTGGTGCTGGAGGAGACACTTGAGAGTCCCCTGGACTGCAAGGAGAAGAAACTTATCAGTTATGAAGGAAATCAACCCTGAGTGCTCACTGGAAGGACCGATCCTGAAGCTGAGGCTCCAATACTTTGGCCATCTCATGAGAAGAGAAGACTCCCTGGAAAAGACCATGAAGTTGGGAAAGTGTGAAAGCAAGAGGAGAAGAGGACGACAACAGAGGACGAGATGGTTGGACAGTGTCATCAAAGCGACCAACATGAATTTTGACCCAACTCGAGGAGGCAGTGGAAGACAGGAGGGCCTGGCATGCTCAGGTCCATGTGGTCACGAAGAGTTGGACATGATTTAATGACTAAACAATAAGAAATGCTGCCAGCAAAGTAAATGCATTTGTGCTTCTAGGCACCAACACACAACTGCAATGGGAGACTGTAGAAGGTGTGTTTTGTTGTGTTTTTGCTACAACTCACTGTGATCACGAAAAAAGGTTTCTGGATTTTTACTTTGGTCTGCTTTTCAGTCCAGTCAGGGATATCTGTGCTGAAACACTAATGATATGAGTCTGAAGCAGATAAAAACTAAACAAGATTGTCTGAAGAGAATCTTCCATTAATGTGCTTTTCTTCCAAAAAAAGAGAGCACAATAAACCCCAGAATCAATGAAGATCCACGGATTCACTTTTAAGAACTCAGTCATAAGAGGGACATTCCCTGGGACACAAAGATGGGATGAAAAGATGATGAAGCAAGAGTTGAAGAGATTGGAAAGGAGAAGAGAAGAACAGCAGGCTGCAGAATTCAGCAAAAGTTGTGGAATAATGAGAACTTCTAAAATAAGTTTCGAAAGCAGCTTTGTGAGTTGCATTAAGCTATGAATAGAAATTACTTCATTATCATGTTTGTGTTTGATATTTTCCAGATAGGCTTGCTTGATGCCTGGGAAATTGTGAGGTCGTGTTTCCCACCCCCCTCTTCCTTATTTTTCCCTTCAAGAAATATTCTCTTTAGTTTTTTTAAAAGAAGCTAGAAGGGGGGGGGGAACCCAAGAACAAAATTTCTGTGTTGAATTCAAAGTCTTAAAAGTAGGCCATGTCTCGAAGTATTGCTTTATTGTTGTTGTTTTTTCTTCCGATTTACCTAAAGGAAAAAGTCAAATCTTATTTGGAGGGCTCTGCTGAGAGACAGGATTGGTGGGAAACCCAAAGAGTTTTGATGTTGCTAAATATATATTTATATATACCAAGTCAAGGTAGTTCTGTACTGGCAGGAGAACATTGTACATTTAGGACAAAGATGTGTTTGCCTCATGACTCCATTTTTTGAAAGAACAGGCACATGGGAAGGGACATAGTCAGAAAGGCAGTTGGTCTATCTAGCTTAATGCAGTCAACTCTGACCGGCAGCAACTCTCCATGTTATATCTGTTTTAAATGGGTTGATTCAATAGCATAGAATATGTTGATGCAGGAAATCTTGGTCACACACAGACGAAAAGGCGGCAGTTCCTCTTCCTCAGCTGCAAAGGGGAGAGAAGCGGTTCACAACGGATGTCTCTATGTCCAGTAGGAAATAAGAAAGGGAAGGCTGTTATGTTAAGAAGACCTTTCCTTGTTAGTTGTTATGTGCTGTCAGGACTATGACTGAGAAATCTCCCAAATTTCCTCTCCTCAACAGCCCTGCTCAGTTCTTTCAAACTCAATCCTGCAGCTTCCTTAAGGGAATCAGCCCATCTCTACTACTCTTCGGCCTTCCTCGTTTCCTGCCACTTTTTCCCGGCATTACTGCCTTTTTCCAGGGAATCCTCCTCCTCAGGATGTGCCCAGAGTAGGACATCAGGCAAAAACAAAAGAAAAATAAATAAAAAGAAGAAGACAAAAACATTTTGGCATCTTAAAGACGAAGTGCTATATTTTAATGTGAGATCCATTTTGTCAGAAATTTCATATTAAAATGTAGCAGTTCGTCTTTAAAGTGCCAGAACATTTTTTTTAAAAAAACATTTTTTAATTTCTATTTTTCTTTTGTTTTTTGCCTGTTTTTGCACAAGACTAACAGGGCTACCTCTTCTCAAAGTAGGACAGCTTCACAGAGTTGTGCTTCAAAGAGCACAGAGTGCTACTCCTGTTCCTCTGAAGATGCCGGTCACAGACACTGGCGAAACGTCAGGAAGAGCAACCTTCAGAACACGGCCCGAAAAGCCCACAACCACCATAGGACAGCTTCAGTTTCTACAAGCTTGTGGCTTCCTTTAGTGAGTCAGTCCATTTCATATCTGACCTTCCTCTTTTCCTGCTGCCTTCCACTTTTCCCAACATTATTGTCTTTTCCAGAGAATCCTGCCTTCTCATGATGTGCCCAAAGCAGGACAGCTTCAGTTTCACTATTTTTGCCTTCAGATAGAGTTCAGGCTTGATTTGATCTAGGGCCCATTTATTTTATTTTATTTTATTTATACCCCGCCTATCTGGTCGATATGACCATTTGTTTGTCTTTCTGGCAGTTCAGGGTATCTGCAAAGTTCTTCTCCAGCGCCACATCTCAAACACATTCATTTTTTTCTCTGGGAGCTTTCTTAATTCTCCAGTTGAAGATATTTAATCTACACCTGAACTAATTCAGAAGATGACAACATCCATTTACATACAGAATTTTTGGGGGGATGCAGTGGAACCTTACTTAAACCCTTCAAACAAGGTCAGGTGACCCCTACAAGGAGTAACTGGGTAACTTAGAGCAGTGGTTCTCAGACTTGGGTAACAACTATTGTTGGACTGCAACTCCCAGAAGCCCTGGCCAGCACAGCTAGTGGTGAAGGCTTCTGGGAGTTACAGTCCAAGAACCCCTGGGTTACCCAAGGTTGGAAACCACTGGCTGAGAGAATAGCAGAACTTGAGTGAAACGGACACACAGCCCTGTCTTGCAAAACTTACTTGATGCTTAGCCCACCAGAGAAGTGTAAGGAATCTGCTCTGGGAAAAATTTCTGTGTTCCCCTCCCACCGCCACCCATATCACATTTCTCAGATTTCCTGTGGGCTGTAGGGAATTTGTACCCTTAATGTTTATAAATGGCTGAAAATTGCCTCAGGGGAAAAAAAATAACTAAATTAAAAAGCGCACATAGAAAAAAATGTGTATATCTCTAACGTACA